GAACATTAACACTAACCAGAACATTAACACTAACCAGAACATTAACAGTAACTAGAACAGTAACACTAACCCAAAACACTAATACTAACCAGAACATTAACACTAACCAGAACATGAACACTAACCATACCATACCATACCAATTTATTTATATAGCACTTAAAACAGCAACAAGGCCAACCAAAGTGCTGTACAAAAGAACCAAACATGCACAGCAGACAGGAAAACATAAAATAGAAATACAGATACAAATAGCAGCAGAAGCTAACTAAAATGGCCAACAGAGTAGAGAACAGACCGGACCAAAACAAATCACACCGTGTTAAAGGCAAGAGAATAGAAGTGGGTCTTCAAGCGAGACTTAAAGACTGAGAGTGTGGGAGCCTGCCGGACACTCAGTGGCAACTCATTCCACAGTTGTGGACCAGCAACAGAGAAAGCCCTGTCACCTCTGAGCTTACGACGGGTTTCTGGGACTGAGAGAAGCATCTGGTCTGCTGACCTCAGAGAGCGCGGTGGGACATATGGCTGCAGAAGATCAGTGAGATAGGATGGGGCGGAACTGTTCAGTGATTTAAAAACATACATGAGAATTTTGAAATGGACCCGAAGGTGAATGGGTAGCCAGTGCAGGGAGGCCAAAACTGGCGTGATGTGCTCTCTATAGCCTGTACCAGTTAAAAATCGGGCTGCAGCATTTTGGACCAGTTGTAGACGAGCAATGGAGGACTGACTGATTCCAAACAGAAGTGAATTGCAGTAATCAAGCCTAGATGTTATGAAGGCGTGGATCACTGTCTCGAGGTTCTTTTTGGAGAGTATAGGCTTCAGCTTAGACAGCCGTCTCAGCTGAAAAAAACAGGATTTGACCATCATGTTTACGTGACTGTTGAGTTTTAAGGACGGGTCCATTATCACCCCCAGATTAGTCACCTTTTGTTTCTCTAGCGGGGCTAGAGAGAAAAGGTCAATGTCATGGTTCATGAGTGAGCCACTGGGATGGAACAGCATGACTTCAGACTTCTTCTCATTGAAGCTTAAGAAGTTTAAAGCCATCCAGTCCCGGATGTCAGCCAGGCAGTCAAGAAGAGGCTGAATAGAGCGTGTACCATTGTGTCTTAGGGGGAAGTAAATTTGACAGTCATCGGCGTAGAAGTGAAAGGGTATGTTGTGTTTCCAGAAAATAGCACCTAGTGGCAGCAGGTATAAAGAAAACAGAAGGGGACCAAGGATGGACACCTGCGGTACCCCAAATTTAAGTGCTGACGAGGCTGAACTAAAATCTTTGATGTTGACACAAAAGGTTCTGTCAGAGAGGTATGATCTGAACCATTTGAGGGCTGACCCCATGATGCCCACCCACTGCTCTAACCTAAACTCAGTTCTCCACCTCACTGAACCATCACCTCTGGAAGCTTCAACTGAGCTGTGCGAAAACGTTCTAAACTTCTTTTTAGAAAAAAATGTGAACACCCGGGCTCTCATTTCCCCTCCAGCTCATGATCTGTCCATCACATCCCAGCGTGTTGCTGTATTTGACCATTTTGAGCCCATCTCTGTTTTCTCTAGAGCAGGTCATGTGCAGCATGAAACCATCTGGTTCCCCCTTTGAAAATAAAATGGTATGGTATGGTATTTACTAATGTACCTCAGGCCTGAGGATGTGCATTGCTCCAGGTCTAGCACCCCCTCATTTTCAGCAGCTTCTCTGAAGACCTGCCAGTCTGTACATGCGAACCAGTATTTCGGTATGGGGCCACTATTCTGCATCCAAGATTTAACTTTCTTTGTACCGGTCTGGAGCGTCTCAGCGGGGGGAGGTAAACGGGAGCCAGGAAGATGGAGATATGATCAGCGAATCCTAGGTGGGGGTGGAGTTTGGCTTTGTATGCATCTTTTACGTTCGTGTAAACATGGTCCAGCATGTTGTTTCCATGTTTTGGTATGCCCACATGCTGGTAAAATCTTGGCAGACAGTTCTTTACATTTACATGATTAAAGTCACCTGTGTAGGGCTGTATACCGAACCAAGGTTATTTTATGGCACCGACCGAACTGCGTCGGTTGGTGTATGGATTGAAACGTCACTCTTCTTTCGGTGTCAAGTTTCGGTATTGGCTGTAACGTGTCACGTGGTTTCAGCTTGCAGGCAGGTTAAACACCAGACATATGACAAACAGACTACGTGTTTTCATCCAGAGCTGTATGGAGCTGACTTACAACCAATGACTATGGAGCTGGTTCTGCCCACAGACGGGGTTCACATGTGGAGGCTGCATGGTAGAGGTAAGTTGAACTGTAAAGGATGTTGTTGATCATTTAAACTTTTATCTCTCAGCCTAGATAATGGTTTTTGATCAATAATAACACAACCATGTTATTGTTGATGTTTTGTGTTCTCATGTCAATTAGGGAGATGATCAGAGTCCAAAACCACAGAGAAGATTCAGGCAGAGACACAGAGGTACAGAAGTCTGCATCAACCCTGACCTGCTGGTGGAATGTGAGGGACACTATGTCAATGTAATCAAACTTGACAACCAGGTATCTGTGTGTGCAACAACCATCATCCACACCCTCAGAGTCAACATTTCCTACTGCTGGAGACACCATCAGCCAGGGGCGGACTTGTTTGTGTCCAGAGAAAGCAGACATGTTGATTTTTCGGAAGAAACATTGTTCAGTGAAAAGATCCTCGGTATGTAGCAGTAAGCATTAGACACTGACATGTCACTGGTTTGTAACAGTTCTTTTGATTTGAAATTATTTGTTTATTTTTATGAAAGAAATTTGTTTGGAATGGAAAAATACCAAAATTAAAAAAACAAGACTCACGATTTGTACTGTAATGTAATTTTCTTCTTGTTAGAATTGATATTGATTACAAAATTGGTACAGAATAAAAGAACCGTCCAGGAACCAACACCGAAGTGAAGGTACCAACATCGATACCGATACTGAATTTTTTAGAAAGGTGCACCTCCAGATGCAGGAAGAGGGCCACTTGCATCATGAAGGACCCCACTCACCCAGCACACACACTTTTTGTCCTGATCCCCTAAGGGCAGGAGGTTGAGTGGCATTAAGTGCAGAACCACTAGACTGAGGAACAATTTCTGCCCTGCAGCTGTTAAGACTCATGAATCCCTAACTAGAATAATCACTT